ACACACACATACAGCAGCAGCTCGTAGCTCACGCTTCTGCAGAGCCAGCTGAGAGGGACTCTCTTCTAGTGGGAGGACAGGCTGTGTGTGTATTTGTATGTCTAGCCTTATGAGGGCCTGACGTCCTCAAAATGCTTAAAACATGCAAAAAATATCCGTGCGACTGTGACCTAATATTTGCTGGACTCGGAAATGAAGGCAGGAGAAGGGCTTGAGATTGTAGGCCAGGCAGCTTCAAGCCTCAGTGTTTTTAGCTTGTGTGCTGTAAAGAAAGAGAGCTGTGATTCTTAGAGCTGTTGTGTATCAGCTGACCTCCTGCAGGATTCTGGGAGTTTTCTCTGGAGGAGTGCAGGAGATAGAGCGCTAAGACGGGTTCTTCAGCCTCCTTCTAAAAATACCCCAGCTTTAGATCTAAGCTTCAATTACAATCACAAACCAAGCATGATTTTGTTAACAAAACTGATGAGCCACAGCTACAATTTAGTAACATTTGACTGGTGACCCAACAGCCCCCATCTTGCTCCTTGTAAAATCTGCTTTAAATAAGATTATTGTGAATAATATAATATGACAGCCAGCGGAGGGCTTCTTGTCAGTAGTCTTTCTGCTTCTGCGTAATAGTTCAACATGTCAACATTGTTGCAGTTGATTCAGAAGGGAATAGCCTATTCCTGAATGGTGTGAGGTTGTATCAGCTCTTTGCCCTGCCAGGTCTTGGTCACCCTACCAGCCCTGCCCAACCCCACCCTGGTAAAATTTGTGGAGCACCAGGTGGTGCAGCATTACTCTGTTCTATTATTTCTATTATTTACTGTTGAACGGCTGTGTTTTTGTTAGCAAATGCTTTGTCGGTGAGTGTGAATGACGTTGTCAGTGCTGCCTATACTTGTGTGTGTGTGTGTGTGTGTGTGTACTGTATAAGGGAGAGAGCAGACTGTGTGGCTTCACCCCTCAGCTCAGCTGACATGGAAGGTCTAAATATATTCCTTTGAAGCGGCCAAACTGGAAAACTTGTGTCACCCGCTGCCTTCCCCCACACGCCTTCTCTAAACAAGTCTTTCCAGCCAAAACTAAATGGCCACATCCACTTAAGCAGAAACCTGGACAACGACTGTCAGACATTCATGTGCTTATCACGTCAGTACAGGTGTCTTTGTGATTGTGTTTGTATTGCCCCCACATCTGTCACAGGATAGGTAAATTAGCACTATCCTTGCTACTTACCTTTAATTGGTTCCATGTTTATATTTAGATGTGAAGGGATTTTAAAATATATGCTGACCCACTGTTTCTCTGCCTTGTCTAGATGCCACCGAGGAGTTTTTCGAGTACGATGCAGAGGAGTTCCTGGTGTTCCTGACCTTGCTCATCACCGAGGGAAGGACACCAGAATATTCTGTGAAAGGCAGAACCGAGGGGCTGCACTGTCCACCGGCCCAGTCGGCCATGCCGCCTCTTCACAAGCACGAATGCAGCGACAAACTGCCGCAGGTAGCCCACGTCCACACGCTTCTATGTACACAGCCTGTATTTTCCTAAAGTGTGAACAGAAGGCAGCCTCTTCTCATTTTACTAGAGGTTGTTGTTGCTGCTTCACTTGCGTCATTCCAGTCATGAGTGTTAAGTGAGACTCACTTTTCAATTGAGCTCCACACTTGTGTACTTTAGATACACGCTATTGTTTATTAGAGATATTAGTGATACTTGTTATGTTTTGTACTTTGTATTGTATTTGTGTTGTATTTTGCTAACACAGCTGGAACTCTGCACCCTACGCACTCAATGCAACAGCTGTAGAGAATAGCTTATATACAGTAAACTCCCACAGTGGAAATATTTTTAATATAACTAAATAACATCACTGAGAAATTCACCTCCAAAGTGAGGCTCTTTCAGGGTCTCATCTGCTTTGCCCCTAAATTTTAAGGTCCTGGTGTTGACATTCACTAATGAGCACTAACCCTCCACCTTTATCTGTGGGTGTGTGTGTTCAGTGTCGGCAGGCAAGGCGAACCCGTTCAGAGGTGATCCTGCTTTGGAGGAACAGCATCCCCATCATGATTGAGGTCATGCTCCTGCCAGACTGTTGCTATGGGGATGAGTGCCCCCCGAGTGACCCCATCAACGACCCGGTCATCAAACAAGATGCTCTACTGCTGGAGAGATGGACCCTGCAGCCAGTTCCAAGACAGTAAGGCATACACTTGTGATCTTACTACTTAAACATGGTTAGTGCTAAAAAAAAAAAAAGTGCATGTTTGTCATTTTTCATAATAGATGTGGTGAAGCTATATTCAGACAAAGGAGGCGACGCTCCAACAATGTGTTTAAAGTCAGGAGTTTACAAGAGAAATTCAGTGTGTTTACATTTCCAAGGTCGCTGCTGCCTCCCATCATCCATTTCTGTCCTTGGACTGTTTATACAACTAATGCTTTCACATATTCTTCTTGCTTTGACATGAGTTAAAATAAATAGATAAAACAGTTTAAAAGAAATAAGGTAAAGGTAACAAATATCTTAATATACACAATATATACAGTGCCTGTGGAGTGTATGAGCATACACATGCTGGTTTTACCAGCAGGCCTATAGCACTTGAATTGAATTGGTTGTTGTTTAAACCTCTCAACTGTTGCATGTATTATCTTCACAAATATTTCTAAAGGTTATAAATCGTCAGCAAAATAGTTTTAAAAGGGGAGCAGAAAATGAAATTCAACAGCAAGGCAAAAGATTCTAAAAATATGAAATAAAATAAGAAAACTAAAAGAAAAAACCCCAGATAACTGGCTTGGTACTCAAAGGGTTAATTAGCCTTACAAGTTGGCCCACTTTCCTACTCACATGTGCAAGTACAGGGAACACTGTGTTTGGAAAAACACACACACACACACATCCCTGAACTGTTTTCTCATTAACCTGACATACTGGCACATTTCCACCTCTTTCTGACTGTGTTTTTAATAGAAGCGGCGATCGCTTCATTGAGGAGAAGACCCTGCTGTTGGCTGTTCGCTCTTATGTCTTCTTCTCCCAGCTCAGCGCCTGGCTCAGCGCCTCGCATGGCATCGTCCCCAGAAACATCCTGTACAGGTCAGACATAACACTCACTGAAGACTTTGACACTGGTGGGCTGAAGGCTTTTCACTGTGGCTGGTGGACCAGATTATTAAAGCTGCAGGAAACTTGATCTAAAGTTGTGTTGTTTTCAAATGTACATGTATATATACTGTGCTATAAAGAAAACCTACAATTTTGGTCAAAATTGAGTTATGACTGAAAATGAACTTTTAAATGTCTGTTTTATCTCGTGACAAGTTTTCCAAGTTCAGCCTTGCTCTATCTTAGAGAACATAAATTATGTAAAAATTCCAGTAACTAAAAAATCCAACCAAAACCAAGACGAGCCACAGTAAATGCGGTTACTGCACTCTTCCTTGGTTTCTCTGTAAATCCTGTATGCTGGACAATTTGGGGACAGTTCAGGAAATGAAAGCAAAGGGAATCTTCATGTTCTCCACTGGGGACCCTTACTGACTTCATCTGTGTATTATTAGCTGAGCCGATTTTAGTTGATAGTAATAATAGTTTGGATATTACTGCGCTAGTGCTAGCAAGCTAGAAAGGACAAAGGATTACTGTGCTAATTAAACCTAGCAAAATAATACTTCCATTCTTAATTACTCATCTTTCTTTCTTTTATCATCTCATTTCATCTTACACATGAAACAATAACAAATACAGATTTAATATCATAAGACATCAAATTAGATTTAGATTTTATCAGGAAGAAGGCACTCAAACTGTAGTTACTGCATCCTGTCTTTGCACTACTTATATATCTGTTTATAGTAATACAAAGACAGTGTGCAGTATCTGCATTTTTGGGGTCAAGGGTCAAGTGTGATTTTTAAGTCATAAAAATTACTTTGAGAATACATATTTAATAAGCACATGCCTGCTCATCTACATAAAACAACTTTGGCTGGCCAGCCTAAAAACTTTGAAGCCATTTTTCTCATTTTCACTGTTATCACAGTTACTGCGGTTAGGCTTTGTAGGGCAGTATAGGTGCAAATTTGACTTACTGTGCTTCTTTAAAAATTGAATGCGAGCAAGTAAAACTGAATTGTGTTTAATAAATCTGTCAAACAGGATCAGTGCTGCTGATGAGGACTTGGTGTGGCAGTTCTCCCAGCCACCTTCAGAGCACATTTTCCCCGTTCCTAATGTATCCCAGAGTGTTGCACTACAGGTTCGTGTCCAATCACTCCCCCGCCAACCCACCTACCCCACCCTTGCCTGCAGCATCCACACCGGCCTGCCTCCTCTTTACAGCAAGACCCCCAGCCTCAATCCAAACCTCAACAGCCATGGTGGCTTGCCCACCCTCAAAAAGAGCCAGGACCCCAGTAAAGACAACCTCCTTCAAAACTCTAACATGTACAGCAAGAGTTCCAACTCTATGTCTGGTCTTCTCCTCAATGGGTTACCCATTCCCAATCTTCCCATCAACAACATCCCAATTAATAGCCTCCCCCACACTGCGGTGCCACCTCCCTACAACAAGAAGAGCCAGGAGCCTGGTGAAGACCACACGTATCAGAATGGAGAGCTTCCGCAAGTCAACATCCCCCAACATCAGGGCTCCCCTCTGTTCCACAGGTCCTCTCACTCCCCCACGCCCTCCCGTTCCCACTCCCCCTCTCCGCTTCCCACAAGTAAAGCAGGGAAGTGGCTGTACTCAGCTCTCAATGGTTCATCTGATCCCACACAAGTAGAGGACTATGGGTCTTGCACCAACAACAGTGAGAAGTCAAAGGGGCCCATCCCAGAGCCACTGAGAGCATTTAAGAATTTCTCCTTGGCAGAGCCACCCCGCTGCCCCTCCCCGAGGCCCGCTGCAACCGAGACAAACCCTCTGATTGGCTCCCTGCTGCAGGAGAGACAGGAAGTTATCGCCCGCATCGCACAGAGGCTCAACTTCTGTGACCCCACAGCACCGCCACTCCCTCCCGGCCTTTTTGCTTCTGACAACCCTCCAAAAGCCATGTGGGGCAGTAACCATGACGACATAACTGCCAGTAAGACCAAAGAGCCAGAGGTACCCCCCTATGAGTCTGTGGGACGTGTGTGGCCCAGCCCCTTCAACACACCCGTGACTGACACTTCTTTCAACAAACGGGAGAGCTCCTCCCCTAAACCTGCAGCCTGCAGGAAGCTGAAAATGACTGAGACGAGAGACGCAGAGGAGGAGAGGAATGGAGAGAGAGAGAAAGAGAAGGAGAAAGACAAGGAGAGGGGGAGAGACAGCTCGCTGATTGCCCAGGCAGTACAAGACATTACTAGACTCATCCAAGAGAGACTGTCTGTCCCCTCTCTGTCCCCGAGGCACAGCAGGAGCGGCAGCCCTCTGCACCACACGCACACAACAACAGTCACACACACGGTCCGCACATACTCACACACCACGTCACCACACGTCCCACAAGCCTCCTCACACACTGCCACCAACGGTTACACCAACGGCCACATACCTAGCCATGAACTTCACAGAGGCAGCACGCACACCGCCGCCACACACGCGCCCGTTTGCACAGACAAACCCCGAGTCGATCCGGGGACCGAACGCCATTCTCCCCGGGCCCAAAATGGTGCTCACTTTACACTTGAAGAACCCTCTTTCAAAGGCCAGTCCCGCACCCAGGCTGGTCAGCGTTTACGAATTCCCCCACAGGAAAAGCTCAGAGTCAGGATACCCAGCAGCCATGAAACCCCCTCTGCCTCCCCTGTCCTTGAGAACAGCCCAAGGAATACCCAGATCTTTAGTTGGACTTGCAATGATGCCAGCCCAACCATGAACTGTAACATAAGCCACAACCACAGCAAGCCTCAGCCTCAATACCAGTCCCAGATACAGGTGCAGACCTGTGCGACAGCCCAGGCCTCCTCCCCGCAGGATGAGAACCAAGCACCCTCCGAGTCAGGATGCTCCAGCAGTCCAGACATGACGCCCCCTGCTAATGTCCTGGTAAGAGTCTCGTCATTTTGTCCAAATACGTTATAAGTGATAGTCCATTTAGTAATCTGCAGTATTGCAGCTGTCATGCCTTATGCCTGCTTAAAGGAGAAATGTAAAAACAGTAAGCTGTGTTTCACAAGAGGTTATGTGCGGAACTATTTTTTGGTCAGAAGCAGTGATTTTATATTCTCACATATCCACAAAAGTGGATATAAATGTATTTGTTTTGTTATTATGATTGGAAGTTAAACAAACAAATGACTCATTCCATTAAAAAATGTCAAGAAGTCTAACTTACACTTAAAGTGATGACACTTAAATTCAGAAATTAACGAGCAGGTAACAACATGCATGGCATTTCTCAAATTGAACACCTCAAACTGGAACAACCCTCCTGATTTATACAGAGTGTTTTGTTGGGAGCAGGTGGGACTGGAGTGGTAATCAAGATGGTGTATGATTTATGAGAACACGGTTTGATAAACACAGATGATTTCACTTCCCTTGCAAGCCTTAATCTCTGTCCATCTCTGTGCTCCAGCGAGCTCACAGCCCCTCCCCTCTGCGTCCCTGCAACAGCTGGAAGAAACAGAATCGCCACTCATTAGACGCCACAGCGACCAAGGCCTTCCACCCCTGTACTGGCCTGCCTCTGCTCTCCAGCCCTGTAAGAAGCACACTCACACACTAACCTACACAGTGAAACCCACAGTCACGGTCAGCTTCTACTTTCACACGCCAGCTCACAGTCACACTTACTGACTCAGTCATCGTCGGTATCCATGCAGTTGTGTTTGTCATAACAACGCACTCAATACCCTTTATTTCAAGCCATCTGAAGGCATTACTCACATTACTTTCACCCGTGTAAGAAGCGGGCCTCTAAATGTTGGTGATAAAAAGACTATGCAATATCTGGCAGGGTGTTTTTTATTGCTGCTGGGCCACTGAGTTTGTTAGCCAAGGTTAATGTACACACAAAAACACACTCACACATAGGCGGATAAGGCACGTGACTCATGTGTGCCTCATCAGCCACAGTAAGTTGTTTTACTGAGGTTGTCGGATTACCACGCTCCTTGATCATCACATTTTCCTGTGTCTTTGTGCGGTCTTACTCACACATATGTGCTCAAGTGAACACACAAACTCACATATTTTCACATACATGACACACATTGCACAAACTTTAGTCATACAAAATCAGTTTATCTCCATGACATCTTTTAAGCCCTTTGAATCCTTTAAAATAAATAAAACCTATTGTATATTTAGAAAATATATAGTTTTATGAGGGATTAAAATTTTACATTTTCTGTTATTGAAGACTCAACTTTGGTGGCTGTTTTTGCTTTTGAATGTCTCTCCTGGATCTAAAAAAGTCCTACCATTGCTCTGTGCTAACCATGTCCTGTGTGTCGGCGGCAGGTTCCTCAGAGGAAAAATCAAACGGGCTACTTTGACCTGGACACCTCTCTGGTTGGCTGTAAGGGTTTGCCTTGGGCCTCTGGGAAAAGGTACACATTTTCTCACCTGGGATCTTTGTTACTGTAGTTACCAGACTTAAACTTTGTCCACGATGATAAGGTCAGGCTACTACCACAGGTTTATTGAAGTCTGTGCTTTCAGCTATTGCCTGCCTGGGGACTACAGATCAGAGTCCTGAACCGGGTCGGGCAACCCGCAAAAACGTTGCGTAACCGGTGAAAAACATAATAATAATTGCGGGTAACGGGCCGGTTGCGGTTCTGAGCTCTGTGGGTGCGTGCCAGGACTCTGCTACAGATTAAAATGAACATTTCTGGCTAACTCTTGTTTATTTTCAGAAAGGATTTCTGAAATTAATATACACTGTTGCTAAAGTAATAAACTAAACTAAACTTAATAAACAGCTAAAAGACAGAGCATTTTTTGCATTACAGTTGCTTCCCACATCATTTGTGTATTATAGTACCATCTGGATCAAGATACTCAGACTTTGCATCAAGCTGACTTGTTTTTCTCGCTTTGCAACATATCAGCTGTTACTATGTGTAAGTGCCATTGAGGCAGCAAGTGTATTTTTGATATTTTTGGTAGCTCTTTATTGTCTTTAAAGCTTTTTTAGTTTATCAGCAGTATCAATCTAGCTATCCAAAGGTTCTTAAAAAGTCTAAAATCTGTAATCGGAATTTTAGGCCTTTAAAATGTCATTAAATATGATTTTGTCTTAAAAGTTGAATTATTGGAGAGAATGTTACTTGTGTAAAGTCACTTTTAAATGTGTTTTGGGGATTCTTTTTATTGATCCACGCCATAACTACAAAACAAAACTGACAAATACCAATTTGGTAAAAGCCTGTGTATGTAAATGATCTATCTATATTAGAGACTTGCTACAGCTACCATATCTAAACCCTAACAAGCTGACATAGCCTCGGATCAGCAATACGTTTTAGAAGTATTGTCCGTGTGTTGTGAGATCAGACAATAAGAGTGTTGTTCTCAGTGGTAAGGTTAGGTCAGCCCTGTTCTGCTGACTATTCCTCTCACGCTGCCACCTGCTGAAGCTCTGCTGTACTGTGACTGCATCTAGAATCACACACATTCTGCTCAAAATGGCAGACAGAACTGAATTGGCTTTATATACACAGAGCTTCACGGCACTGCCTACACACAGCAGATGTGGGTGGTAGCTCAGTGCTGCTTTTGATACAGCAGATGTTTCAAGAGTTTGGCCTACAGGGTGGAATTCATTATAGCCACAGGTCAAGTTCTGGTCAATTTGGATGTGGCTGGTAAAAGTCACAATAAAATTGCCTTTTTTAATTGTAGATTTTTTAAGTTATATTTGATTAAAGATTAATGTGTGTGACCATTGGACGCAAATTAATTTTTTACACCTATTCTTCCAGTAAATTAAGATGTCAGTGTTTTGTGACAAATAAGATTCGGTCTGGTTGTTATGTAGCAGGTCTATTCAGACATACCAGGCATGCTTGTCACGTCAGCATCTTTCATACATCACGCATTGAAAACAAGTTGATCAAGTGTTTGTGCTTTAACCCTTCAGGGTGTGTCCAAAGAGAGAGGGGTACACAGATGAGTCACAGCAGCTGTTCAGTGCCAGCGCTCCACCTGCCAGTCTCAGTCTGCTGGGGAACTTTGAGGTATAGCACACAGACACACTCAGAATCATGTCTTTTTCATCCAGCATTTTTTGTGAGTGGTGTACTTTCCCTCATGCCAGTTTTCATCCCTAAATAATCCAAATGAAACAGAGCGCTCACAAAGGAAATTGATTCAGCTGTAAAGTGCAAAATCTGGACTAGCCATCATCTAGCAGCTTGTGCATTTTGCTTGCTAACTTTTCAAAAGATTACATAATAACTTTACTGTATGAAAAATTGAGTTTCTGTCCTGGATGAAAAGGAAAAAGGCCAAAGCCAAAATCAATGATGACTTATGTGTGTGAACAATATAGAAAGAAAATGAATAGATGTAACTGTGTCTCTCCAGGAGTGTGTGCTGAACTACCGTCTGGAGCCTTTGGGGTTAGTGGAGGGTTTCACAGCAGAGGTCGGAGCCAGCGGTTCCTTCTGCCCCAGTCACCTGACCTTACCTGTGGATGTGTCGTTCTACAGTGTCTCCGATGACAACGCTCCTTCACCATATATGGTGAGATTACTTTTCTTTCCCAGTTAGTCAATCAATAATTCAGTTTTCTTTCCTGCCTGCATCACTGAGTTGAGCTGTACGCTGTATCAGCTATTGTGCTTATATGTGTGTGTGTGAGCTCCTGTATTATCCATGTATTACCTTCTTATGCCTGTTTGTAACACAATGTGTTGTGTCTTCTCACAGGGTGTCATAAACCTGGAGTCCCTGGGGAAAAGGGGCTACCGTGTACCTCCATCAGGAACCATTCAAGTGGTAAGGAAGCATTCAGGGTTCTTTTTTTCCCTCAACTGTAGAAATGGTGTAAAATGTTTTATTTCAATAAGATATCTGCATCAC